TATGATTACAATTCACCGGAGTATCTATCTCTCCATCTAGCTACCTACCTATCTATCTATCAAGCACATCATAGTACTCTTCCTTTGCTTCTATTCCAGGCGTAAGGAGTTTGGTTTGGGAGCTCATTAATGGTGTTAATCAACGTGATAAGGTTTAACTATTCAGATTTTGATCTGATGGTCCAAATGTAAACTATTATTATATATTTTATTTTATATTTTTTAAAAAATTTATAAATAATTTTGATAAATTTTTTATTTTTAATATGATCTAAATTTAATTTGGAGTGTCTAATTTAATATTAAAATTTATATAATTATTAGATATTAATTATTCATATATATCTACACAATTCAGATTAATGCCAAATTAAATTTAAACTATACAGAATATATTTGAATAGTCAATATGCATCAATTAATAAAAATTTTAATATTAATTTGACTTTCAAAATTAAATCTAAATCACATTAAAAATAAAAAATTATTAAAATTATATTATAATTTTTATAAATTTTTATTATAAAAAATATAATAAGTAATAATAATTTAAATTTAAACATTTAAATTAAAATTTAAATAATTCAGGCCTCATCTTAATGCTTACTGTAATGAGCATTACACCCAAACTGGACCGTCGGGGTAGAGAATTTGCCATTTGGACGCTGAAACAGACACAAGGGATCAATCGATGTGACATTGCGCATGTATTGCTTATCAATCGATACAAGGGAACTGCGTATTACCCATTTTGGATTAAGGGAGAAATGACAATAAAATTTTAAAATAATAAATTAATGACAGTTAAATTTTTAAAATTTTTTTATAAAATAAATTATAAATATTAATTAAAACAGTTATAAATAAAAATTTAAATTACAAACTAATTGTTATATTTAAAATTTAAATATTATATTTATAATTAAAATTTTTAAATTTATACTTGTTTGAATTGATATTTATAATTAATTTTTCAAAAAAAATTATCTGGATCTAATTGTTATTAATTTATTTTTTGGGACTTAATTGCCATTTTGTCACGAGTCTCACATCGGGGAATCTTACAAGTATTATGGGGTTTATAAGTATGAGGGGCTCTCCCACTCAACAGGCTAGTCTTTTAGGATGGGCTCTCCCTTTGAACTTATGTTCGTTATATTAGTGCTTTCATTGAGAGTCCGGTGTCACGGAAAGGGCTACCCACGGAGGGTTCTGACCGGCAGAAGGCCGAGTGAAGTGCCGTAAAGTGAAGTTGCCGGGGACGTCACCTCTTGACGAGGTGGCATTGTCACGGCTTTCAAGGGAGTCTCACAAGTATTGTGAAGTTTAAAATGTGAGGAGCTCTCTCACTTAACAGGTTAATCTTTTAGGATGGGCTCTTCTTTTAAGCTTATATTTGTCACATTCTCCCTTGGATTTACTCTGAACAATACTTTGGACGGATCGATTGTTATACGCTTCCTGAAATAATGGCTGAATGGTTCTAGATGACATGCATAAGTTAAAAACCCAGAAGTGACTGCTTTTCCAGCTTACCTCCATGTCTCCTTCACAAGATTTTAAGGCTATGCCTACCCTCTGTGCAATTCTTTTAAGTTGTTCCCTGACTTTAAGAACCTTTCTTACCATGGAAAAGTAATTATTTCTTCTGAACATCTAAATTGGTTAGAATCTAGCTGCCATCATTTTTTGAGATCTTAGGGTCAAGTGGAATTTTGCAACTTGAAATTCAGTTGAAGAAGTTTGTTTAGCATCGTCATCTAAGAGACAAAGTGAGTAACGAACTTGTAGCGCTCGGATCGTAGCTTCAAGTGATGGAGATGCTGGCCAGTCAAAGCCCAATATATTAACAATAAATAAAAAGACAAGGAAAATTGATAGAGAGGTCTCAAAGGGATTAATTAATTTAACTTAAACCTAAAGTTCTAAATTTAGAAGTTTGCAAGTTCGATCCTAAATTTTACAATTTCGTTATGATGAATTTGTAATTTGTGTTTTAAATTTAAAAATAAAATAAATTTGTTTATTCTTCAACTATATTAAAATTTAAAAAATAAATTGTAAACTTATCATAATAAAGTTACAAAATTAAAAAAGAACTTGTAAATTTTTAAAATTTGAAACTTAAAACTTAAGTTAAATTAATGTAATTTCTCTATCATTTTCCCGAAAGATAATGAAACGGTTTTGATGGAAAGGTGATTGTGAAGGTGCACACACACAGCTTGGAGGCACACTATGGTGCAAGGCATAGAAAATTGTATAGAGACAAATAATACACACATGTCCTATATGCAAGATAAGATCAAAACAAATATCTATTATAGAGGCCATCTAGTATGTTTTGAGCTTAGTGACCCAACTCTGATTGCTATAGCATTTGGGCTTGAACAATTGTCATTGTACTTGGATATAACTTGGGCTTTATACTTAACTTCCTCCTCAAACGAGAGGGCATATTTAAAACCCCAGAGTTTGCTTCTTAAATAATTGAACTGGTCCGAATGATACAAGGGTTTGGTGAAGAGATCAACATTTTGCTCATTGGATGGAACATAGTTGATTTACAATTGGCCAACAAGAACTTGATCATGCATGTAACCTTCCCCATCAAGATGCTTTACTTTGGTAGGAATGTTTGTAAATTTTTTTGAGCCTATATTTATTACTATTATTATTACTATTATTATTATTATTATTATTTAATAGTTAGAGAGAATAATGTAATTTTTTGCCTTTAAATAATACCATATTCAAAGAAAAAATAATTACAAAAGAAGTTATAGGGAATTACATCCACACGTATTTCATTAAGATCATATTTTAAGGTACATCAACATACAGTTGAATAGCATGCAAGGATTTCATACAAATTTCCCATAATTGTGGGAAGAGGGGATTTGATAATAAACTAGAAGTATGTTGAAATAACCTCTAATATATTACACCAAAAAGGGTCCCACACACACACATTCTAATTACTATGATGTCTATATATGCCCAATAGGCATGTTAGGGGGTGGAGTTATTATCGAAAAGGGGGTTGGTTGCAATGGAGGTGATGCTGAGTGTGGAACTATTTGCAATGGAGAAGGGGATGGAGGTGGGTTCCAAATAGTCTCAAAATAGGCACAAGTGTCAATTATATATCACTTGGCCGGTTCATTGTCTATCACAATGATCCCCATCCAGTTGATCTTAGTAATTATTTTCTTTGCCAACATATGGATACATTATGAAAATAAACAAATTAAAATTTTTATAATTCTTTGTAAGATCTTATATTTTGAACTAATATCAGTCCAAATGCCTCGAGTTTAGAAAACCTTCTAGTAATAATAACACTAGGCAATTGGTGAGCATAATAAATTATAACATGAATATTTAATTACATTAGCTAATAGCTAACAAATAAAAAAGAAATCATGATAATTGATACATAATTAAATAAATGAATATATCAATAACATATTAATATATTTTATCATGTGAAACTGTACTTAGGCAATTCTTAAAGTGGATTTACAAATTGATTTCATTTTCTAGATCTTCTTAAATAGGAATTTTATTGGGTTTATCTTAGATCTTCTTTCATAAAAAGAATTTCCTTAAAAGAAATATGTGTGATTATTTCACAATAATTACATGTTTATAAATCAATAATATTCATAATCCTAATAATACAATACTAATAATTATAGAAATACTAATTGAAAGCATAAATAAACAATTATTACTAAAACTGAAAAAAATTTAAATAATAGTGCATATATATAGAGCTAACAATTAAAGAAAAAGATAAATATTAATTATTAATCTAAATGAATAAATAACTGATATAAATAAATTTTAATAAGATATGCATCTAGCTACTACCAAAAGCCCATTACCAATTATTATTATTATTATTATTATTATGCATGTATGCATGCGTGTACACACACACATAAAGCCATCGCATGACACTATAATCGTGTTTCGTATGATGGAATGGCGTAGGTGAAATGGGAACAGGAGAGGGCTTGACAAGGTTTAAATGCATTTTTTTTTGGCCAAACAAGATTCAGATGTTTGGTACAAATGAAAGGCGCGCCATCACGAAGGATTGGCCCGTTACCTTAAATGAGGCAATGATCAATCCTTCACTGGACCAAAGGTATGTGGCTACCATGCCTTGGAAATAAATATTCATGCACCAAAGCATCCCTACCATAGTTTTTATTTCCAAGCCTGCCCTTCATCTCTTCCTCAATAGCAACATCAAGTCCGACTTGCTTTTCGTCCTAATCATAATAATGTGATCTAAACTATTTAAATTTTTAATTTAATGATTTAAATTTAATGTATTCGTATATATTTTATTTATTAAAATAAAAATTTAAAAATAATTTTAATAATTTTTTATTTTTAATTTGATCTAATTTAATATGAAAAATCTAATTTAATATTAAATTTGAGTTATGCAGAGTATATCTAGATAATCAGTATATATCAACTATAAATATTTTAGTATTAAATTAGACTCTTCAAATTAAATCTATATTAAATTAAAAATAAAAAAGTATTAATTTTATAATTTTTTATTTTAATAAATATAAAATAAAAATATATATTAATATTTAAATTTAAACTAACTAAACTTTAAATGTTTCAAATTTCATCGCATTAATAAAATCTGACACCGAAGCCGCACATGTGCTATAGTTATGGATCGAGAGGTTGGCACCACGTCAAGGACCACGTAGGCCCGCCCCTCTTCGCGTTACATCATATCAATCACGTCGTAATGTGTGTACTGACTTGCAGGGAACGCGCGTGCTCGCTCCCATTCCATGACTGTTAAAGAACGAAAATATCTAAGGAATTTTATTCCTTCTTGAAAAACGGCAGCCACAAAATACATGCTTTTTCCCGCCGTGCGAAAGAGGTGAAACGTCTATAAATAGATTCCTCGGAACAAGCAAAAACCCGCACAAGTTAAGAAATAAAATAGAAAATAATCAGACAGAAAAAAGATGCTAAGAATGGAGGTTACTGAAGTGCTGCACATGAATGGGGGCGTGGGAGAAGAAAGTTATGCAAAGAATTCCTTGGTTCAGGTATGATCATTTATTATAATGAGGAAAACATAATCATTAATCTCTATAGTTTTATAAAATTTTATTTTTAGTTTTTATAATTTTTTTCAGTATTTTTAATTCTTATAATTTTAGAAATATCAGAAAATATTTTTTTTAGTCTCTATAGTTTTAATTTTTTAATATTTTTAGTTTTTATGAGAATTGAAAACACTATAAAGGGATTAAAAGTAAAATTCAAAAAATTATAGGGATCAAAGATAATGTTTTCTCTTATGATTAAGTACCACATACTTTCAATGAATTTCATCTTCCTTGCAACCAATATTATAGAGAAGCTATTCTCATTTGGTTACTAGAAATGAACAAAATGAATTAAAAAAATAAAGGTAAAAGTAAAATGATCAAAGAAGATAAGTGAGCACATTAATAAGAAGGAGAGATAATTTAATTAGTTTATCAGATTGAGAATCATGATTCATAAAATTTTTAGAAGGTATGATAAGTCTCACATTTATAGTATATTTTAATGAGTTTTATTAGGCTTAGTATAAAAAGAAGGGTGGTTTAATTCATTTTAATATTTATTTTTTCAATTCATGCGATTCTATTTATTTATGATAACCAAACGAGACCTAACTGTTCTGTAATATAACACAGCGTAAAAACTGATAACTGTTTTTTGGTGACGGGAAGCAGCAAAAAGTGCTGACACTGACCAAGCCGATTCGAGAGGAAGCCCTAGCCAACTTGTATAGCAAAAGGCTCCCGGAAAGACTAGTGATTGCAGACCTGGGTTGCTCTTCTGGTCCAAACACTTTCTTTGTGGTTTTTGAAGTTATCAGAACAGTGGAGAAGCTTTGCCTTGACCTAAATCATCAGTCTCCAGAATACCAAGTCTTCTTGAACGATCTTCCAGGAAATGACTTCAACAATATCTTTAGGTCTCTTGGTGGGTTTAAGAAGAAACTCGGTCATGCAATGGTTAATGGGGTTGGTCATTGCTTCTTAGCCGGGGCCCCTGGTTCCTTCTATGGCAGGATTTTCCCTTCAAAAAGCCTCCATTTTGTCCATTCCTCTTACAGTCTTCAATGGCTCTCTCAGGTATTATATTAGTCACTTGTTTGAACTTAGATTTTTGAGACATAGAGCGAAATGTTTGACCGAGGAGATGACTGATCTATGCATTAGGTTCCTGAAGGAGTGGAGAACAATAAGGGCAACATCTACATGGCAAGCACTAGCCCATCAAATGTGTTGAAGGCCTATTACCATCAATTCCAGAGAGACTTTTCATTGTTTCTCGAGTGTCGTGCAAAGGAAGTGGTGGAAGGAGGTTGTATGGTGCTCACATTTTTAGGAAGAAAAAGCGACGATCCCTCTAGCAAAGAATGCTGCCTTATTTGGGAACTTATGGCTAAAGCTCTTAATGATATGGCCTCCGTGGTATTCATTTTTTTCCCGATCTTAATAACTTCCACCGTCGTCCTTTTCATGATGGGCAAGACGTGAACTATTGGTCCCATTGCCGTCCTTTCACTGAACACATTAATGAATTATTGATCCCTTTTCTATCCTTTAAGAAAGCTTATGGCTAATATGCGTGCTGTGCATAATTAAATCTCAACCATTATTAAAAGATATTATTTAATATTATTTGCTATTATTATTATTAGGAGAATGGCTGACCATTCATATGGCTAATATGAATGAGCCATTCTCCGTCTCTATCCATTTAACGATGAAAAAATACCTGTCATGCTAATTTGTTTTACGATGAGTTACAGGGAATGTTAAAAGAAGAGGAAGTGGACTCGTTCAATATACCCCAATACACACCATCCCCATCTGAAGTGGAACAAGAGATACAAAAAGAAGGGTCATTCAGCATCAATCGCATGGAGGTATCAGTGGTGAATTGGAATGCGTACGATGATTGGAACGCAGTAGACAGTGAGTTCAGTGAGTCCGAAGTAGTGAATGATGGTGGATATAACGTCACAAAGTGCATGAGGGCTGTGGCCGAACCGTTATTGATCAGCCACTTCGGAGAGGGTATCATCGAAGAAGTTTTCAAAAGATACCAAGAGATTTTAACAGATCGGATGTCCAAAGAAAAAATTGAATTCATTAATGTCACCTTTTCTATGACCAGAAGAGCGTGACGATGATATCAAGATCCGTCAAACGTATAGTATCTATAATAGGTTTGTAGTTGTCTTAAATAACTCCCTTCACCTGAGGAGAATTGGAGTTGTGGCTTTGCTTGATCTATCTTAATTTGGTTATTTATGGATAGATTTATATTTGTTAAACCTTGTGATTCATGATGTTTAACCTGCATGTGTAATAAAATGGTGTTTTAAATTGTACACCATCAATTCTTGGCTTTTGTTATAGAGAAAAAAAATCTATGGCCATTTTAATTTAACCATGCGATAACTAACTATCCTAACAACGGTGTTTTAATATATTTAAATGTAATAAATATGTAATAGGTTAATAATATTTATAAATCATGGACTGAGTACTTATTTTATATATTTAGTAAATTTAGGGCTAGGAGTCTTCAATATATCTTTCTCTAATGTTTATTTTTAATGTCCTGCCTTCTCAACTTTATTTTTATCTTTTCTTTAGATCATTGGTTTTTACATAAAATGTAAGATCAAGCAACAGCAATAAGAGGGACTTGAATTGGGTTTTTAGAAATTTTTTTGACTAAACAAAACTTTTCACAAAGTTTGATACAAGTTGAAAGTGCAACAAAAAGTTTGGCCAAGAACAAGTGATTAAAAATCAAGTACTTCTATTACAAAGCTTTATCAAAACACTTGAAATTAAAGAAAAATTAAATCAAGATTTGAAAATCAAGTGTATGAAATAGGGAATCATAAAGTGAACTTGCCAAAAATTGATTTTGAAAAAAAAAAAGCAAAATCAAGTTTCTAAAGCTTTTTTCCAAGACAGTGAACTAAATCAATAAAGTTAAAACAAAGTTCTTGAGATATATAAATGCTTCAAATACAAGAAAAAAGAGAGAATGCAAAATATAAATGAGCTGAATGTAAAGAGTGTAGGAATAGAAATAGTACACAAATGATTTATCCTAATTCAGCCCAACGACTTAGTTTATATCCAGTCCTCAAAATCACCCTTGAGATTTTTCACTATATATCCACTACCATAAAAAATCCTAGTATGTGATGCATATTTTTAATAATATTTGAAGGTTTTTAACCGTCAAGTAAGGGTGCGACAGATATTACAGTCACCCTTACTTGACGGTTAAAAATCGTCAAATATTGGAGACCTTACTTGATAATTATTTGAAAATAATTGTCACGTATATGATTACATATTTGCTTCTATAAACAAATACTTGATGGTTATTTAGAAATAACTATCAAGTATTTATGACAAAAACTAGCCATCATTGGCTTGGTTGTTGCCATAAATAATTGATCGTTATTTCAAAATAACTGTCAAATATTTGTGACATTTTTTTAAATAGGAAAAGCAGCCCGCTTGTATGAAGATACACAGATAGAAAATAAAATAGCCATCTAGCAACAAAAAGAAAATACAATTTATGTTCCTATATATTAAGATTGCTATCCAAGTAGATTGAAATTCCTATACCTTTAACCCTAACCCCTAAAAAAATCTATAATCATAGCTAATTTGCAAACTAAACTTCCAAAATTAAATGGCTAAAGCATAAAAATTGGCTAAAAAAATTTAATGTGTAAAATGTATATACGTAATTAACTATTATGCTAGTCTAACCATTGTTGCTACCCACATATTGAACAAGCATTGGGCCACCTCTTCAAAGATTCGTCTACATGTGCAGAGGTATAAAAAATGCAATAGACATCCTTGAAGTACTATAAGCAAATAGTCACAATGAATTCAAGTTAATAGCTAGCTATTTAAAGTTGGTTTAAATTTATAATTAAGGTGTAATTAAATTTAATATATACCTTATTAGATAATGTGGTAAGGCATAGGTAATAATGTCCTTAATGAATTTCATCAAGTAAAAACCACAGCCATTACTCTGATCTGGTTGGATTGTACACTTAAATTCTATAACATGAAATGATTTCTTGATTAAAAACTTAGTCAATTAAATAAATACCTTAACGGTGATCCATTTCTCAGAAGAGTCGAATGCCCTCATCCTGAAGGACACACTCTTGTCAGTTGCAGTGTGATACAACATCATAGCTCTAAGAAGGAATTATGGAATGAATGTGAGAAATATATGTATGGAAATTAAAAATAACAAGAAATGACAAGTGAAAAAAAATTCAACTTGTTAAAAAGTACAATCATATCTTCTCTGTTGTTTGGTTCTTTATTAAGGGAATTGAGATATCATATTTTTAGAGCAATGGGATTAACCACAATAAGCATTCAGTACCCCCAATAAGAAATAGTAAGTATTAGCAAACTAGAAAATATAAAAAATATTTACTTGTAACAAGTGTTAGCAACTCACCTTTAGCAGTAAGGAGAGAGAAATAAAGTATCTTGTCTGCTCTCCTTTCTTGAAATTGATCTGAAAGTGTTTTTGCTTGATCTTTAAGAGCTTCCTTAATAAGATCATTGTGGAGAGAGACATCATGGGGATTAATCAGTTTGAACCTCAACTCAAGGCCACCAAGAATCATGAATGAGGTATACATGTGACTTGGGGTGAAAAAATAAACAAGTTAATATACGGACGTGATGGACAAATATATAATTCAAGTAATTAACCAAGCAATATTGAAGAATTACCTCAAATAGAAGGTCATCAAACTAATGCTTGCCATATCATAGTTGAGGATTTCATTTAAAATTTCATCTTGGATGACTTTAAATGACACTCTATCGTATAGCCCATCGTCAAAATTAATGATATCCCCAATCAACACTTGATGAATCATCCTCATAGCTGAAGCATAAGTCTCAAGAGAGCCATAGAATTTGTTGTCTACAATAGGCTTAGGCGCTGGATGCTACGAAACCATGGCTAACTTTTTGGTATGGCCTAACTCCTTATCCTTCAAGTTGCTTTTCCCTCTCATCTGTACAACAAAAAAATTATACATGTATATTAAAAGATTCCAAGCAATTATTTAAATAATATATACCCTTTTCTTTGCGAGCAATTGGTCTTTTTTAGGCTTTGGGTCTTTTAGCGGTTCCATTGTTACAAGGTGGCTAGGCCATGCAACGAAGCTCCCTAATGCATCTCCTACCATTTGCACCTCATTAGTAGGATAAGATAATGGATACTTAGGGGTCAATTCCAACAAGCAAAGAAACCCTCATGCAATCGTGTGGGAGCGAAAGGTTACGGATTGTCTCGTCCCCGACAATGTTATACACACATCTTGCAACCACTTTGCATGAAGGATCATCTACTAGACAATTGCAGTCATTCTCACCTTAAATAAATAAACAATGTCAATTTCTAAGATAAAAAAATAGTTAAGTAAATTCAAAAGATAAAACATACTATCTTGAGTACTTTTTCTAAAGGAATTGTGTAGTTATCTTTTGAGTTAAGGCTAACCTTAGCAAAAATCCTTTCAAGGATCCACCCTTTTGGTAACATGTCAATTATCTTTGCCTAGACTTCGAGGTGTTGGTGTATATGTAATGGCTTGCTCTTTCTTAGCTCTTTAACCTTAGATGAAGTCGGTGTTTGCTTCTTAATCTTGCCTAAGTACTTATTTTTCATGACACCAAACCCGACACCCTTAATAAGACTAGAGGGTTAGGGGTCCCCAACACTTTGGCCAATATATCCTCATGCTCATGAAGCATTCCTTGTAAGACTTTTAAGAGATGGAATCCTGTGCAAATTAGATATGATTAGTATATATTTTCATAATCAATTATTAATTGATAGATAATAATAACATTTACAATTTTTTAAGTAACCTTTTTCACATAGGAGTTGTTAATAATTCCATCTTTGTTTATTTATGTCAATGCCCAGAGTCTTTGGTAGGATATGGTAATATTTGATCCCTCCACCTTTACTTGTTTATGCTCCATACTTGTATACCCAACCTCCTTGTTCTGTAAGGATATTCATTCTTGGCTACTCTTTCTTCATTTTGAATGCATAGTTCCTTGGCAAATAATAAAAAATTCCTATTATTACATATACATAATCAATAAAAAGCACCAAAATTTAAATTTTAGAAACCCAAATTCCTTGAATTCCTTCTCATACTATGAGGCAACAATAGCATCCTAATCCTCCAATTTTACGAAAGGTTGTAATGGGGGAGGAATTCGATGTAACATCCTTAAATTCAAACTATGAAATTTTAGGTGTTTAAAAGGGGGTAAATTGATAAAAATGAGTGATTTATAAGTTAATGATATTTTTTACCTACTACCGAGGTTATTTCTTGTTTAAATGTCCTACTACTATTTTAGATAGCTTGAGCATATGACACCATAGATATTTAAGGAAAGGGAAAATTTATGATCCATAATAGGCTAAGGCACCTTAAGTCAAGGCTGCCTCCCATGATTAGTGAGTTTAAGCTAGTCTAGTCACATGAAGTTGGTCCTATTATATTATTAGCTTACATATTTAGTCGGAGGAAGTAAAAAGGATATAAGGTGGATAATGTCGATAATGTCTTGTATGGATTAATATATGATAATTATGTATTTGTGTGTATTCGATAAATGTTTTACTTGCCACTTTACACATTTATGTGATATTCTTGTATTCTTGTGAATAGATCTTAGATTATCTTAAAGGCTTTTGGATTTGCTATCCCTAGGCAAGGTAAACTTTTAACTTGTTATTTTTCCTCTTTTACTATATTTGTGTCATTTTATTTATCCATTCTAGAGGGTTTTTCTATAGTTTTTTAAAAAGTAAAGCTATCTTTATCTTTGGCAGGAAGTTGGCAACATAATTGAGACATCCTAAAAATTTTTGTAGTTGATTTTTATTTGTAATCTTATCCAAAATTTTTTGTGCAAATTCTACAACTCTATTGGTTGGAGTTATCTTTTCCTGATATATTTTCATTCTTAAAAATGTTACTTTATTTTGGAATAATTTCATTTTTCTGGCCAATACTACTGAACCATTAGCTTTTATTATTTGTAAAATTGATTTAAATGTTTAAAGTGTTCAATTGAATTGGAAAATACTAAAACATCATCAATATATACTATAGTAAATTTACTATACGGGTTAAATATATCATTTATTAAAATTCTGA